AAAAAACAGTTAATAATAAAAGCGGACCACCGACCGTTAAAACGGTGGACACACAACGAAAAATGATTGACGAAATGATATATTGTTACTCGGAAACGATTGCCCTTATTTACTGGAACGATTAAATTTTCAAATAATACCAAATCCACCAGAAATCGAGATAGTTTTTTAATCTATAATGTTTCTAAAGCATACTTAAAATCATCACCTACGAATATACTATTGACTATAGGAAACACTATGGATATTAATTTTAGTTAATAATTAATTATGGCCGTTGTTTGGTTTTCTTTAAAGTACGGCGCTTCGTATATTATTATTTATTATTATATAGTTAATTTTTGATGTGTTAGTCGTTGTTTTAACTAGGTTTTGGGCCGTTTCACATTCACAGCGCGACAATTGTTATTAACAATCGAAAAAAATTCTGGAAACAATACTGTGTATTTTGAACAACATTTAAATATTATACTAGGTATTAAATAAGTAAATTAAAATTACGAAAAACGATCCCGAGTTTAATATTATATAGAATAATTACTCGTATCTACAGTCTACATTCGGTGTGTACGCCATGCTCTCTGCAGTACTGTCTGCCAATACATTATGTAATATTATAATTTATAATGCGGTGCAGTTATACATTTTGCAATTTGTTTGGTGATGGATTTAGTCTCTTCGTTTTGGGTTTTAGCCTTAGTAAGTATTTAATTACCAATCGCCATTTAGTTATCTACATTTGGTGTGTCCTAAGCTTATCACTTATGGGATTTGATGTTTTTTATGAGATTATTAGTGAATCTTACAATTTTTAAAATTTTTTTTAATTTTAATAATTGATATTATACGTATTCGGATTTTCGAATTGCTACGTAATTTTAGTTGATTTCAAAAGTATTGTTTTGGTTTTATGTGATATTTTATTGTTAGATAATTTTATTGTTTCTTATATTATGATGTCTGTTTTAGGTCGCAAGCCTGTGGTTGGTGTTACCAGCCAGGGCCATAAGTGAAGGTTATCAATATCCTGTAATCATATTGAGACTCGGACATCCAGGTCGCCCCACACAGGGTCAAATGTGGGAGTCATTTTACTAAAGTTTCATGTTTTATTCCAAATCTTCCAAAATTAATATAGTAATCTATTCAGTAATTATGAAATACCTTCAATAGGACTAAAAAGAAAAAAAAATTAATTAATTTAAAAAAACTTTTTTAAAAACGTGCTTTTTTAAAATAAAAAAATAGTAATAAATTTATCAGGTTATGTTTTATATTGTAAGATCTTTTGTAATTTAAATTTAGTTTAATATTTGTATAGGACACATACTTTGTTGAACAGGACCCACGCTTTTCTTTTTAGTCAAAATTTAAAGTTGTTTAACATTATTTAAAATTGAAGTTAATTTTCGGTTTTTTTTCAAAGTAATTGACATTTTAAACAAAATATGCTACAATTGATTGGTAAATTTTCTTGTAATAAAATTTTTTTTTACTTTTTAGTTTTTACTATTTTTTTTTTTTAGAAAAGCATGTTTTTTTTTAATTATTGTGTGTAATATGTTACATTGTATGTAATATAAAAATAATATTTGAATGGGTCGAATACAATATTTGAAATGATTAAAATAATTTTAAAAAATAGTATTTAAATAGTTTTTAAGTACTTTTTTAATGTAACTATATTTGAAAATATGATTTCGTATAAATCTAATATTTACTACATTTAAAAAATATATAAAACTAGTAAATATTCCTCTAACCAATTTTTTGTAAGAATATTTTTCTTATTCGAATAATTTAAAAAACATTATTCAAATAAACTGTAAAATGATTATTCAAATAACGTTTTATTCGAATAAAAAATCGCACAACAAAAAAGAAAAAATATTTATCAGTAGCGGCTCGTGGCTATGTGCGATGGTGCGGCCGCACAACTTACAGAAATAATGAGTGAATGATGAACCAATTGAGAATTATGTTCAAATGTGTCAAATTTCAAAGTATTGTCATCATAACGAAACACACACACACCTAAGAAGTTTATTTTAATAAATCAACACAATATAATGAATTTATGGTATAGTTGATAACAGAGTAATCAGATAAAAAAAAAAACATGTTATATAGATGGAAATAAAATATAATTAAAGCTGCATTTATGGCATGGCTGGTAAAAGTACTTATTGGCCAATTATATGACGGAGGAGGAGCCATGTTTTAAAATGGAATTTTATATCTGGCCACAATATGTATATACAATTGGCGAAAATGCCCACTGAAGTATGTGTAAGTAATAAATTCTAACAAATCGTTTTCTTATAAAACGTCGTTTTCGACGCTCATTGGCCAAGAAACTATCGCGTGACATAAAATTTAAAAAAAAAAATCCTATACGATTTTCGTATATAACGCGCTATTTGTGCAATAAATTACTCTTAAACCGTTTTAGTTACCCTTGCCGTTGTGCAAAGTCTCTTGTGGCAACCTACCTGACCAGGCATAACACCATGTCGTCTCAATGAAACTCGGACTCTCAGCGTAGAGGTATTTATTTAATTTATCTAACTTAACGCGAGTATTATGTTACAGAAAATACAGAAAAAGCAATAACAGCGTAAGTAATGGTTTTAGGTTTTCTTTTCGTTTTAGCTGTAACTGTCCATTTTATTTGACGTTTTACAATTATTGCTCCTATTCTTAAATGTTCTTTAGGCGGATAACTACCTACTTCAAAAATATTTGTGAATTTAAAGAAAAATTAACGAATTTAAGTAATTATTTAAAAGTGAAAACATTTATAAATACAAATAGAAGAAGAATAGGGGGTTTAAAATACTGTTAATGAACCTTTATTTTATACAGCCGACTAAATAAAATATCTCCATCGCTCAAGTCGCTTATATGCTGTTGTTTGTAGTCAACGGGTAATAAATCAATTTACATTATATTGTTAATTACGATTTAAGGGTAACTACTATAAAATCGAGATAAAATAAATGTTTGTGTATTTTTTTTTTAAAGTGACTTATAAAAAACGTTTTTTAAAGACCTATGTGATTTAGTACATGTTTTGCTATGACTCGTTCTGTGTTGGATTACCCTGCACGTCGTGGCGTCCGGTGTTCAGACAATGGGAAATACGACGCTATAGAAATCACAATAAAGATTATTATAGCTTATGCACACTGCTCAATTTGTATTAATTTTCCCGGTCTGGAAACGAGGTCAAACGGATATACCAACAAAGGGAACCCGTTGATAAATTGAAGGGTCGATGAATACTAGCGTTTCTCGCAGGATGGATTAATAAACGGCAATAATAGTCAGGACGACTTTGCCTGTCAAACAAACTAGAGGGGTCGGCTGAGGTTTGTATCACACGCCAGTTTTGGCAATCGTCATTCGATCACGACGGCTTTACTCGTTCGGTCGCGAATTTCTTTAGCCCATTTTTAGTGAATTTCCCATCATAAAAACAGTTTTGTTTGTGTGTATTCGGCAACGTCATCATGTTCAAAATCTATATTGTCTTATCGGTTGCACTGCTATCGCTTTGGTTGGACATTGGTACCGCCACGGGCGGATCTGGGCTTCAACACGAATATACTCACGGCGACCATATTTGTGCCGTGTTATCAGCAAACGTTGTCAATTTTACCACCGTCGATAACAACCAATACGTCCAATTTACATTGTTAGTAGAAGGCGTAGGTCTCACGAAAGATGTAATGGTGCGTACGACTTCAGCTTTTAAGGGGCGTGGATCATTATGCTTTACAGATCAACAATATAAGTATGCCGACTCCGAGAGAAACTCGTTTGAAATAGTAAGTCCGACATTTATGTTTTTAATACTTCGAATATGAATAATATAGGCTTGTACATTTTTTAAATACCATCGTACCCGTGGAGCATTACTTTTAACAAAACAATTCCACCTAGTTTAATACTGATATATTCTGTTCGTTCATATAGTATAAGATATAAAAATGTGTCAAAATTGTTTTTAGTCAGTAGTTTCGTGAGGTCTAGTTTAGATGACAATTGTATTGATAAAATACGTTGGTATTAGCTTTAAACACTTGGTCGTACTGTTAATCGTAATAACGCTGTGCTTGTGCGTTACGTTTTTTTTATTATTATGAAAAAAAAAAAATCAAAAATTAATTCTAAAAAGTCGCTAAAGGTCAAAAACATTTTTTATAATTCATATTCTATTATGAAGCATTATAATTGACGTCTTATTGTAACAAAAGAAATTATAACATTTGTATATGATATTAGGCCCGTCAGTTGCCTTCGCCCTATCCTTTATAAATAAATATATATATATATATATATATATATTATATGAATATTAATTGTAATACCCTTAATGATTTTTTACGAGAATAAGTGATAAGTGCAAAAAAAAAAGGCCAGACTACCGGCTACCGAGACATTTTTTTATCAACTATGAGAATCCAACGGGAGACATATCATCATATTAACAAAATAAAAAACCACCGCAAGGTAGATTACTGTGTATACGGCACAATGATCGTATATGGTGTATTAATAAAATACAACCGTCGAATCATCGTGATACACCCTATATATATATATAAAAAAAATCCGTCTTTTTTAAAAACAGTGTGACGATGATAGATAGTATATGGCAACGGCGAATATTTTTCACTTTTTAGGGTACAAAGCTATTGGGTGTGGCCTAAATATCCCCGGGCTTGGTCGGCGCATGTATTTTGACCAGGAACCTGGGGATCAATAAATGGGAAAACTCTGTCAGCGCGGCAGCTGCAGCTCCCCTTCCGACCTTACCGACCCTTGTTGTATTGTATTGTGTGCCAACCCCAAACGATGGTTCTTCAGTAAGCAAATGCTTTGAGCCCCGGCCGGCTGTCTAAAATACACCGTTTCGGCACAGTAATTCGGATTTTATTCGGTAAACTCAGTAAAATAAAATAAATTTAAAAGAAACTCCAACCGAGTAGTGTTTTTCTACGCGTTTTAATTACAACGGTGCATACAATGTTGGACCCCGAGCTTAATAAATTCGTGCAAACCGTGAAAACGCTAACGCAAAATAGTAAGTATATATTAAACGAGTTGGTTATTACTTACTTATATGCAACGAAACGTATCAAAGATTTCCATTTGAATATTTTTTTATGCCTATCATTATTAATATGTTATTATCTCATAAAATAAAATACTCACTAAACGTGGTAAAGTTTATTGTTATTAATTAAATGTTAATACTATTAAATTACCATAATTATTTTCTCACTAACTTAGTAGTATTTCACGCTTGGATTCTCATAAATGGCACATATATTTACTTCTAGTTTTAATAATTAGGGATGGGCTTGCGATACAATTATATCGATAATATCAATATCGACACTATCGTAAAGTACAAATATAAGAATATATCGATATATTTGGCCCACCCTTAGTTTTAACGCGTGATATCCAAACTAAATTTATTAGTTACATTAAATCAGTGGCGGTTTTCCCGGGGAGGCAAGGGAGGCGGTGCCTCCCTTGAAAATTAAGGAAACTATGTACTTAATATTGTTATTATGATGAGATATTTTGGTTTACAATAAATATTTTCAATCGATAAATGTATATGAACAATAATTGTTTTTGAAAGCGAAAACAAAATTTAAGAATTTGAAATAACGTCTCTCCGTATCAGCGGTGACCGTCTGGATGCAACGGCCGCCGTCCGCCGGCCGCTGCCTGTTGTTACACACGTAGCATAAGGACAGCCGGCGGAGGCGGCTGCCGCTAATATCTCACGTTATGTTGTTGTGTTCACAACATACACACACACACATACATAAAATAATACGAATAGCGCATGCGCAATTCTCTGCGAGAGGCGACACAAAAATATTGCCTTTGTGGGCAACTGACCGATGATCGTTCTTATCTCGGGGAAGAAATGGGGCATAGACATTCAGCATGTACATCAGCACCGACACTGCCAACTGTTAAAACGCCATTTCCCATTATCACTAAATCATTTATCAGCAGTCGCAATTTGATATCACTATATTTTTTACTTAATTCTGATACCGGTTTACTAATTGGCGTTTTATTTAGTTTTCTTAAGTTATTAGTTAATATATTATTATACTTATTAGCTTTATTATTTTTTTTTCAAAATGAATCCTGTATATGTCAGTATAGTGGTTATGAAGCAACATCCATACAGAAAATCGTTAGCGATTACAATTTCATCTTTTGTAAGTTGTATTTACATATGTTTTTATGATTATACATTTATCTTAAGTTCATACATTTCAATGATAATTATTTTATTAGATGACCGGTAATGCGATTATAACTAATAACTAGGATAATAAGCAAAAGTCTTCTGTTACAGTTAAAAAAAGGAAGTATCCCAGTATGAAGAAATTTTAAGTGTTGGGGTTTTGCGCTTTTTTTATCAATGAGGGTACAAAGTTGTTGCCTCCTCAACAATTTAATGCCAGAACCGCCACTGCATTCAATACATTTTTAAAAATATTTTTCTCACTCTTTTATATTTTTTTTATAAGAAATAAAACGATTCATGCAGAAATGGGTTGACAAACAGTAATTACTACTGTTTTTTAAGTAAATAGAAAATAAATCAATTTGTCACACAATTTTGTTTTGGTATGTACTTATTTCGTTTATCAAATATTATATTTTTGTTCTTTTATTCTAGTTCTTAAAATATAATGTATCGTGTACCTATCCTATGTTTAAATGATTTTATTCAATAAATAGTCTATGAAAATAGTTGACCATATGACATGAGTAGAACGCTCCATCAATTTCAATTTGTGATTACAATGTTAAATGAATAAAAAAAAAAGTTAATACGATCTGGTTAAAATAATGAACAATAAAAAAAAGGGCGTGAGGAACAAAGCCTCCCTTGTTAAAGTGTAAAATGTAGTATAATATAATTAAGTGCACAGTTGGTTTCCCAAATCCTTTGTTAATTTACTGAGAACTGAAAATACCAACAAATTTTACCTGACCGTTTTACATTGATAACAAATTACAATTATACTGCATCAACTTTATTCGTCTTTAATTGTGTTGTATCTATAAAATAAAATCCATCGAGAGCTGAATGCAAATAAAAATGAAATTGTAAAAATATATATAACATATTGTGTTTTCTTATAATTGTTTCTTAGCTGGCAATGGTCGAGAACTAATGGTTTATCTTGATGAACAAAAGTACTTCCTCGAGGGCTTCGTGTCCCGCATGGATGGCGTACTAGCAGCTTTCGACATAAACGAACATCGGCTTGCAATTCTGATGGTTTTAAATGTTGACGCTTCGACTCAGCCAACTAGTGTACCAGATGACTTGCACTTTGTGACAGTTGCATCACGAATAAATCATTTTGTTTCTATTGTCAGAGCTGATGTATTTCATTCCTGCTCCAAAACATGTAAGTATTTTTAGCGCTGTCAAAGTTGTTAGGCAAAACTAATTTGTTTTTTTTTTAGTGGCCAGCGTAGTGCAAGCTCTGTTAAGAAATCTACACAAAGTGAAAAAAACAATGATGATGATACCTACTATTCAACGCGCCATTGATAAACTGCAGACAAAACCTCACCAATTGACTCATTTCCATTACTTGCTATGTGAAGCATGCATAATGTCTTATAATCTTAAGGCTTTGCTGAAAGTCTTAGATCAGGAAGTTTATTTTTTAAACTCCGATGAAGTAAGTCACCTGGTTTTTGGGAATGGAAATCGCTAGTTATTAAGGGGCAAAAATATTTCTTGTTATAGAACTTTTAAAATTGTTTTTCTTTAAGTTATGGCGAAGGTATGATACAATGAAGTAATTTTCTAGCGTATCATTTATAATTGGATGGATTAATTTTTTTATTTTTCCTAAGACCTAAAAAAAACTTGTCAATTTTTTTTCCATTTCAACCTTTAATATTAACATTGTTCGAAAATGATGAGTAGACAGTGCCGTAACAAGGGGTAGGCGAGAAGGGCAGTCGACCAAGATTACCCCTTTTTGGAAGGGGGCAGAGTCAAAGTCACATATTTCTTTTTTTTTTTAATTTATAAATACATTTTTTTTTAATGTATATTATATAGGTATTATATCTAAATAATATATTTAGATATGTAAAACGGAAATATACAAAAGATATTTTATTAGAGGAAGCCGAGATTGTTAATTTAATAAATACTAATTCGGAAAGTTATATCAGAAGACAAACTCAATTAAAGGAGGATACAAAAACATGATAAGTTGATGATGGTTCTTTACTGATAGAAGAAGACAAAGTATTGAAAAAATGGTAATAGTATTTTGGATTGTTGCTTAATGGCGAAAACCCAGTTGAGACATTTGCATGGACGCCAACAGAACCTGATGACATAGACAGTCCACCCCCAAGCAAAGAGAAAATATTACAACAGGCTAAAAAACCATTAAAGTCCTGGGAAGGACGGAATTCAGAGTGCACTGAGAAAAGTTGAAGAACTGGCACAAGGATATTCGAGAGGAAAGTGCTAAAGAATGGCCCAAGCTTTGATATTCAAACCAACAAATGGAGAAAACTGCATAACTATGAACTCCAAATGCAGTTTCAAAAGCCTGATATAGTTGAAGAGATCACAAAAAAAAGACTAATGTGGGCGCCTGGCATAAGCAAGGATCCTTAGTTACGACAGGTATTAGAAGAAGATCCTATAAGCAGGCCAAGATAAAGATGGGAAGACTGTGTGAAGGACATCAAAACGTTACGATAACGGTGGTTGTGACTTCCAGATACTTTCTGCGTTCACTGACAACATTTATTTAAATATAATTCACTATTAAAAATTGGAATGAACTCAGATACGTTAAATAAAAGAAAAGTGTTACAATATCATGTCGATTACTTATATATTTTAGAATTTTCCGTTTTATACTATATCAATTCAATTATTTTTGTTTTCCTAAAAAAAGAAGAAGTATTTTTTTGCCAAGGAAGGTAACATTTTTTGTTATGAAACTGTGTACAACCTGTGGGAATGCATTTTGTTTGTTAATGTGTTCTGTATATTAATATTGTGTTTATTTTGTCCTACAGCCTAAAATTATATTTGAACCGAAATACTTTTTGAACTACTACTTTTCGGGCGGTCTCATATACACAGCGATGGAAAACTTTGACAGAGCAATTACTTTTTTCGAAATTGTTTTCATGACAACATTTCCTGTAATTTCGCCAACCACGATTGATTCCTATAAGAAATTCATTTTACTTGTCCTCATACACTTCGGATCGGTATCAACATACTGTAACGTTGATCCCACAATCCTCGATGAATTGTATGGACCAACGTGTCAACCGTACTTAGATTTGGTACCACTTTATCAAAGGGGAAACAGTCCACGCGACAATTGCTAAACACCAAGATATTTATGTAAGGTAAAACATATTTATCATATATTTACATTAACATCTGGTATCTATTTGGACTGTTTTGCTTAATATTTGAATGTTTATTATGGTTCACGATCAATTTTTTTTTTTGAAGGGATAAAAATGTTGGATTGGTGAAACAACTTGTGAAATCTTTGAACCAGGCCAACTTGCTACGACTGGCCAACTTGTTCTCGACCATGACCCTAGCCGAATTGGCCGAACAACTCAACCTTAAAACGGCAAAAGATGCGGTAAACTATCTCTTGACAATGGTAAATTTGAGATCGTCCACACATACTGCTGTAGTTTTACGCTAAAGTATAATATTAAATTTTTTTTTTTTAGAGAAAATCAAACGTGCTACACTACAAAATCGATGAAAAAAAGGTATCGCTACTTCCAACATCAACGTTGACTATAGTTATGAAGACCCAGACGTTCTTATCGGTATCATAAAAGAAGTAAATATGGATAATAATTTATCGAACTGTCTACTACTATCTGTGCACTTGTCAATTTTATATTCAATATGTATATTTATTTTAGATTGAGCATAAAATCGAAGTGTCCAAAATATTGCAATCAGCCGAAGAAAACTTCAACACTTATATTCCGCAAGCGCCAATTGTACAATCCCAGGCTGGGCCTAGTGATGTGCTATGTAACCAGCGACAATTACCGCCAAGGGCAAGCAGCAACATTGATATTTTTGCGACATCGTTGCTTATGGAATGTGAACTGGAAAAAATCGAAGAAATGTCCGATACCGAGTAACTTTGAATTCGTGTATGTTAGTAAGAGTGTAAGTTAGTAAAATTGAAGTATAGCTTCATATAAATAACATTATTGATACCATTGTTTAACAATAAAACCATTTTAGAAATTAAGAGGTAAATCCAGCGGTGGTAAAAGTGTCTGTGGTCAGTAGTGTTGAATGATAATAATTCTAACCTGACTGTAAAAACACATTGAGAATAGAATTTTCGTTCTCTTGTAAAATTGTACATGTATAAGTCAATTGTACCCGTTTGATTACCACCGCTTTAAGTCATAAAAAACTTCTAGTCGCGTTTACGCAATTACTTATTATAAAAATACATAATGTTAAGTTTTATTTACACAATACATTTTTCTAACAATTAAATGTGTAGGAAACCTTAGCGTTACATAACTTAAATAACGATTTTTTTTTTAAATCAATTTTATTTAATGTAAAAATTAAATTCGTATTTAAAGTACTTTTATTTACTGTATCAAGTAATATAGTTTTGTTAATAATATTTTATTTGACTACTTCATTAATAATCTGTTGTTTTCAGTTCAAATTTATTTAATTTATTTGATATTTAAATGTGTGCCAAAATGTATTTGAAATTATTATTTGGACATTTGTGTTAATAAAATTAATATTGTATTTAAATAATGCCTATGTCTTTACGCAATATGTAGCGATATAAATTTAATTTAAGCTATTTATATACAAAATCTGTTTTTTTTTTTTATAATTAAGTATACATAGGAGTGAAAATAAATATTAATTAAATATATATATATCAAAGAAACAAATAATTTTTTCTGTTCATATAAGTTTATTTAACACTGGTTAGAACTTTTCTTTTCAAATTGATAATTATTGCTTAAATTTTGAGATGTATTACAATATCAGTAAATGCAACAGTTCTTTACAAGTTTCAACCAATTTTACAAATGAGTACTTAAAATGTAAACTTAACATGTAGTGTGCAATCCATGATGTAAAATGATTTTTTTAAAGTAAATTAAACAATACGAAATTAAAACAATAAATAACAAAGCATAATTTATAAGTGTTATTAATTTTACGTACAATGTTTTGTTATAAAAATGTCAAATCAAATAAGTAAAACATATGTTATCTGTATAAGGAGTTAATGTTTAAAAACTATAAAAACTGGCATAAAAGTTTAACTATAAATTGTTTTATAATATATGAAAATAATAAAACACGTTTAATTTAGTTTTAAAATTAAAGTTGAGAATAATTTTAATTTTGTTTTTTCATGATATGAAACATCTGTTTGAAATTTAAATTAATGCGTTTAAAAATCAAGATTTGTTTCACATGTCCCATATTTAAGAAATTAAAAACTCTTGATAGCATCAGAAAATGTTTTCAGTTTTTTTTTACAAAAATAAGCAAGATATTTTTCACAGCTTTTTAAAATAGAAATAGCTGCATTAGCAGAATACATTATGTTTTAAAAATATAGCAAATTACCATAACTAGCCCAATATTATAAAGAACAAAATTCAACACATTTGATTGAACAAAAAGAGTGAAATTCCATCCCTAGTTACCTTTTAAAATAATATTTGTGAATTAAATATAAATTTTAATGTAGAAACAATATTATAAATTTTTAATTCTAGCAGTCATTGTTTTAATATATTATATATATATATATATATATATATTTAGACATAATTTTAATTCTAATTATCTGTGATTAACCAGTCAAAGTTGAAAGAGTAGACAATGTTTCATGTCCGGTCTTAGCAATACCCGATTTTAACGATAGAGTAATTACGTTTATTCATTATGGCGTGGTTCCGCTTTTGTTCTTACAGTTTGGTTGGCCTGCGGTCGGTATGCAGTTTGACAAAGATATAGCGTAGTGTATAGAAGAGTGGCTTCTAAATACTGAATAAATATTTATAAATTAACCATGGAAAACAGAATTAATGCATTTCATTAACAATATTGTATTTTCGAATCAAGTTTGTTTTTTAAGTTTAACGATATTAAAAGCATACATAGCATTTAAAGTGTTGTAACAAACACTAATACAGTAAGTGAAATTCAATGGCAGTATGGTTTTATGAATGTTAGTGTATTTTGTTTTCAAATATTCGCTTAGGTACTCTTTATGCTTTAAATTTTGTATAATGGTACCTTAATTGTTTTAGCACTGTTACTTTTATCAACAAAAACTTGTAACTCATGTAGAGCTTTCAACGTAAATAATATTTTATATATTCATTATTCATTTTATATATTATCATCGTAAGACTGTGAAACATTTTGAGTTTTGCCAATCGCCAGGAAATACACATACGTTTACTGCTACCCATTGAAATAATGTATGTTATTTAAACAAAGCACAGAAGTTTATAAAATATTTTGTTTTGTAATAACAAGCGACCGTATCTCTGTTACACCAGCTTAACCAGTAACTACTTGGTTAATACATATCGAACAAATTCGCTCTTTTACTCGCTTAAATATATTACGGTGACATACGTAATAGGGTCAGATATCCTAAACACAACTCTACT